CAACGCAAACATTTCCTACGGAAATCAAATACTTTCTAAGATTAACCAATTGTCTACCAATTATAAAACCAGAGCCTAGCTCTCCTTCTGGCACACTGTTAGAGTCTGGTGCGGCTTTGGGAAGGATTTGGCACAACTTTGACGATTACATTGTGCGTGTGCACTGTGCCTGCCTTGTATGAACTTCAACATGAAGTAAGTGTTTTCTATTTTGTTTCTAATTCAAAAAGACTATTTTGGATCATATTACAATACGTCTATGTGTTTTTGTGCTCATATTATCTATATCTCCTAAATGTACCTGTGTGAATTTATTTCGCACAAACCTGGCCAAGTTCTCTTTTTCTGTATGAAAAAGAAATACTCGAAAATCTTCAATTTTGTATTTCTGTAAGCAATCGGCCTGATTGAACAACTATCAGTGTCTTCGAAACTCCTACGAGGCTTTTTTTTAACAAATATGTCATTTTGCTGCAGACCTTGTGTATACTACACAGCCTGCTCTATAAGCAATGATACAGTGTAAATAAACCTTTAGAGACAACTGAATGCTTCAAATTTGTATATGATGCCACATATATTTTTGATCTTAGAGGCGCAATAATCTCTCTACTATGGTATAACCCTTAGGGCAAATTACATTTTTGTAATGAACATTACTTTTTGTAAGTCTGAAGGCCCAATGCGATGCGTCATAGACATGTTTTTTCATTATATAAAAAATGATAAAATAGCATGGGAATGGGTTCTGCTGTCATTAATCTGTCACATAAATAGACCTCTAAATACCAAACAAATTTAGCGTCATCTTTTTCTGAGTAAACGTAATCAATAACTAATTCCCTCTGTGATGCGTGCCATTTTGACATGGCCTTTATCTCTAGATTATCTGGTAAAGCTATTTCAAGTGCCTAATGTATTTTACATGTCCAGTGTGCTGTACTTCATTGCATTACAAATGTAGATATATAAGGGGTCTGCATGTTTGGATCGCGACAACGCTTGACGCTAAATTTAGGAGGACTGACAACGCTACATGGGCAATTTAGGAGGGACGCTAATTCTTTAAGAGTAGATTCTGTCATGACGAAAATGCTTGACTGCTCTTGATATGAGGCCTTGCAAGCGACCTTATTGGATTTTTTTTTTGTATTCAGGGCCGGTATGGCGTCTTTTGAAAGTTCTTTTGTATTCAGGAGAGTCTTCGCTTGGATGTTCTTCTATAAGGCTTTTGGAGCGACGTCTTTTAGAATGTTCTTTGTATTCGGGAGAATCTTCGCTTGACTTTTCTTGTATGAGACATTGAATGCGTTTGGAATGTTATTTTGTATTCATGGTGTGTTGGCCAAAACTAGTTTTGCGAACCTTGTTACAGGACAACGATTCAGGACAACAAATCTCGTTACGTAGAGTTAATACAACCAATTAGGTTTTACTATAGCTCGGCATTTTCTCAGTGTTGACGCCGGCCGGCGTTATGAAGCCAAGCGTGCGCCGGCTTTCAGAGTCATAATTAAATGTTCCTTTACGGCTCTCTGTCGGGGCACTGAGGCGGCTTCTATTTAAAATTCACAAAACTTTGTTCCCTTTGACGGCCGGTTTCTGCTAGGGACCTGTTGGACCCGTTCGATGCCCGGTCAGTCTCCCGTCTTGACCCGTGTGGAATGGGGTAGGGTGCCGACCGGCTCTTGCATTCCGGCCGAGCAGCTATAGGGTCCTTGACAGGGTCCAGGGGTGCGGCTAGTATGGTTGGTTCGCCCCTGGTTGATGCGCAGACCCGTGTATGGTCACTACAACTCACTGATAATGGAGCTATGTCGAGAATATCATTGCGACTTTAAGTTCTTCCTGTGAATAACCTCTATAAACACTTTCTTCTGAACAATTGAAGCACAGATCAGCACACATGACGTCATAACCTTGGACAGGTGCCTGTGCGGTCGCCTGGCGGAACCCGGCGGCTAGGCTACGGCTTCGTCACGGCGTACTATTCCCTCCGGGGCCCGGGGTGATTTGAGCATGTCCTCGGTGTAGACGCCGGCCGGCGTCATGACGCCGAGCGTGCGCCGTACTGTCAGGGTCACAATTAAATGTTCCTTTACGGCTCCCTGTCGGGGCCTGCTTGTGCTCTGGCCGGCGGCTCTCATTAATATTCATAAACTTTTCGGCCGGTTTCTGTCAGGGACCCGTCAGGTGCCCGGTCAGTCGCCCGTCTTGACCCGTGCGGCGTGTGGTAGGGTGCCGACCGGCTCTTACAGTTCGGCCGGGCAGCTGTCAGGTCCCTGGCGGGTTCCTGGCGGGAGCCCGACGGGCTCCTCTCGTGTTTTTGAGCAGGTACATATATAATGCTTAGGTCACAATTCAAGAAAGGGGCCCGCTCGGCGCGTGTTCGGCGTGTTTTTTGGCACTACCGAGCGGGACCTGGACGGAGACCGGCGGGCTTCCCGACGGCTGCCGGCCTATTTTTGGCTCCGCGCGGTCGCCGAATCGATTTTAACTCAGAGTTAAAAACACTTCGGGCCCCGTTCGGCGAAATACGCCGAAACGACACCGTAACCTCACTGCCCGGGACCTGTCGGGCGGCCGAACAGGCACCTGCCTAAGATTATGACGTCACATGTGCTGATCAGTGCATCAGATGGTCAGGAAAAGGGGGTTATAGGGAGCATACATAAACTCCTGCCTCAGACTACGTCGCACAGTTCACCACGTGTGTGTTACATCGTGTACTTGTGTGTGTTACACCTTGTATTTGTGTGTCAGAATGTCGAAGGGCAAGGGAAAACAGCCGGCACGGCTCTCTTGCCAACTTCATAAAACAGATCATAACAGGAATAGAATGTGTCTGACATTATCTCTTGTTACATCATATGCCTTCGTAATAAAATGGAATCAGAAGTTATTGGCATTTATTTTCAGTCCAAATTTCAACAGAAGTAACGATATTCAGTGGTTTTATTGCTCAATAGCAAGGAGCTGCCACGGCACACTTCCTGCGTCACTGCTGAAGTACTCCCTGCGTCACTGTTGAAGTACTTTCGAAAGTAGGCCCTCGGTTACTTTTGCGACGCACCAGTTCTGCCTGCCTCTCTTCTTCAGCTACCAATGCCAGAAGACCTACATGTAGGTTGTCACCAATCTCAATCTCAGACGGGCTTGTAAGTTGTTTGCAAGTTGCACTGAACGCTGCATCGCCAACTTCAGTCTACTCTTTACTTGACGTGTACTCTGTACTTGAAGTGAACGCTAGCAGGCAGTGCAGCGCTTATATATGTACCTGCTCAAAAACACGAGAGGAGCCCGTTGGGATCCCGCCAGGAACCCGCCAGGAACCTGACAGCTGCCCGGCGGAACTGTAAGAGCCGGTCGTCACCCTACCACACGCTGCACGGGTCAAGACGGGCGACTGACCGGGCACCGGACGGGTCCCTGACAGAAACCGGCCGAAAAAGTTTATGAATATTAATGAGAGCCGCCGGCCGGAGCACAAGCAGGCCCCGACAGGGAGCCGTAAAGGAACATTTAATTGTGACCCTGACAGTACGGCGCACGCTCGGCGTCATGACGCCGGCCGGCGTCTACGCCGAGGAGATGCCGAACGGGCGCCGTTTCAAATGTGACCTAAGCATAAGCGCTGCACTGCCTGCTACCGTTCACTTCAAGTAAAGAGTACACGTCAAGTAAAGAGTAGACTGAAGTTGGCGATGCAGCGTTCAGTGCAACCTGCAGACAACTTACAAGCCCGTCTGAGATTGAGATTGGTGACAACCTACATGTAGGTTTTCTGGCATTGGTAGCTGAAGAAGAGAGGCAGGCAGAACTGGTGCGTCGCAAAAGTAACCGAGGGCCTACTTTCGAAAGTACTTCAACAGTGACGCAGGAAGTACTTCAGCAGTGACGCAGGAAGTGTGCCCTGGCAGCTCCTTGCTATTGAGCAATAAAACCACTGAATATCGTTGCTTCTGTTGAAATTTGGACTGAAAATAAATGCCAATAACTTCTGATTCCATTTTATTACGAAGGCATATGATGTAACAAGAGATAATGTCAGACACATTCTATTCCTGTTATGATCTGTTTTATGAAGTTGGCAAGAGAGCCGTGCCGGCTGTTTTCCCTTGCCCTTCGACATTCTGACACACAAATACAAGGTGTAACACACACAAGTACACGATGTAACACATACGTGGTGAACTGTGCGACGTAGTCTGAGGCAGGAGTTTATATATGCTCCCTATAACCCCCTTTTCCTGACCATCTGATCCACTGATCAGCACATGTGACGTCATAATCTTAGGCAGGTGCCTGTTCGGCCGCCCGACGGGTCCCGGGCAGTGAGGTTACGGCGTCGCTTCGGCGTATTTCGCCGAACGGGGCCCGAAGTGTTTTTAACTCTGAGTTAAAATCGATTCGGCGACCGCGCGGGGCCAAAAATAGGCCGGCAGCCGTCGGGAAGCCCGCCGGTCTCCGTCCAGGTCCCGTTCGGTAGTGCCAAAAAACACGCCGAACACGCGCCGAGCGGGCCCCTTTCTTGAATTGTGACCTAAGCATAAGCATAAAATCGATTCACCGCACGGGGCCAAAATTAGGCCGGAACCCCGCCAGTCGCCTTCCAGGCCCCGTTCGGTAGTGCCAAAAAAACAGGCCGCAAACACGCCAAGCAGGCCCTCTTTGTTAATGTGACCTAGGCTAACTCTCAACAAATCTTAGTATATATCAGAATGTTCAGCACAATAGAAAAATATTTCTCTATTCCACTCCTGTGGTCAGACAGAACCGTGTTACTTTCACACATACAGTTAGAGCGATCCATTACTCTCCTACGGATCTTGTCTGTTCTTGAAGGTTCCGCATTTAACGTTGCGTTCGCCTACATTTATCGTTGTCCCGGATTTTCAATCATGCCCATAACTGGAAAAGTTTGACCTTTTCTTTTCAGAACGATGCTCGCTTATGCTGTTCTCCTTTCATCGCTCCTGGCCATGGTGCGTGGATACAGCATGGGGGCGCCCAAGGGGGCCTGTTCGACTTTGGCTCCGGTACACCCAAGAAGCAGCTCGCAGCTGCTCGAGACCGCTCCCTTCCGGCTCGAAGCGGACCACACCTCAGACACGCCCGGAGCGCCCGTCAAAGGTGAGACTTTCCGAGTTGGGTCGTGTGGCGTAACGTTAGAAGGTTTGCCTCGTAACTATGATTCAAACCCTTCAATGCCACTGATTTTGTGCCCTTTGGGAAATACATTTTGGACCACTTTTCTCACTTTACTCAGGTGACAATGAGTATTGCATTGCCATCTGTGTCAGTGGCGACATAAAAATGAAACAAATGTCAGTGTGCCGTCATCGTGACTTGTGACTTCATCCATACATCAGTCCCACAGCTAGTCAAAAGTCGACGTAAACTTGTGATCACATGTTTAAGAAATAAAAAAAAAGACTTTCCGAGGTAATGTTATTTATTTCCTTATGAATGAATAATGTACAGTCATCGAATTCATAAAATTGTCCCAAACTTTAAATGTCTATGCAATTTTTTTTTCTATTTCGTGTCAGAATCAGAATTTTTCCAGTGTACCCGGGGACATCTGAAAACTAGTCGCATATGTCGTACGACGGTCGTGCGATTGCAAACTGAAGGCACTATTGGAATAGTCGTGCAAGTGTCGTGACTCGTGACATGCTGCTCTACTCCTTTGTCAGGCTGCTCTTTCTCTAACTCTCTACATATACATGGGTAGAAGCAAAAATTGTCCCTCTCTCTTTAAGAACGTGAATATACGGTAAATATTTGTTATATGAATAATTTTTTGGAAAAAGCGCACAAACTCTGCGCTATTTTGTGTTACAACTTTTGTTGATATGTCAGTTGCGTTCCAACAATCCTACCCTGTACTTGCAGTGACGATCAGCGGGGACCGTGGGTTTAAAGGCTTCATGCTGCAAGGCGTAAGCACCGAGGGTGCCGTGGTGGGAGCTTTTCAGGTACGGGGCCGCCTCGTACCTATACTGCCCTTTATTTATAAAATTGATTTGTCGGGAATATAAGACAGTCTCATCTTGGTCAAAGGTAGCGGTTGTCTACAAAATAGAAATAAAAAAAGAAAACAGATACTATTACTAAAATTAAAAATGTAATAGGTTACAAGTGACACCTGAATAAGAACTGTAATGGATAATAAATACTTACCATTTAACTTTTATTCCCCCCATTTTCCCAATCAATCAATCAATCAATCAATCAATCAATAAAGCAAATAGTCAATCAATCAATAAAGCAAACAGTCAATCGATCAAGTAATCAAGCAAGCGATCCATCAATATTGATCAATATTTGAATGTTACCTGTTCCTAATTGTTTATTTTCTAGCCTGTCATGATCAACACTTTGAGCTGTTCCTCCGAGGCAGACACCGCCACGCATTCCAACCCACTTGTCAAGGACAGCTTCACGGTCACGTGGGTGCCGCCAGCCAATCTGCGCGAGCGTGTGATTTTCCGGTAAGGACTGTATACTAGTATTATTATATTAATCTGTTATTTTCTAATTATTTGATTCTACAAAGTAGCTAAGAAGATAACATTGCAATGAGACTCTGGTGTTTGACTAAATGTTCCATGTAGCTTGTAACGTCCTTCTCTTCGTCTCTGTCGATTCACAGTTTATTGCTCCCACAATAGATCAAGTCTATATAAAAATTACGAACTCCCTAGCAGATTTGTGCTTATTTATTCATTTACAAAGTTTTTTTAAATTATTTTTTGCTCAGTGCCACCATAGTGGAGGAGTTTTTTACCTTCTGGGTCGGCGTCAGCATCGTAGTAAGTCTTAGGCCTGGTAAGTTTTTATTGAAAAGTTCTTACCCGAGGACTAGTATGATGATGATGAGTATTTCAACATGAAACAAAGAATATACAGATAGTGGAAGCTAACTATGGTAACAAGTGGCTATTCTAAGAATTGCTACGGAATACAATCTAAACTTTTTTACGTTATATAAGGAAAAAACATCACTCACTGTTTAAATGGTAAACCATCCATTCCTTGCAGCCTTAATTATTTCCTGTTAGTATTAGGGACCGTTGCAATGTTCTTTCAATTAAGAAACAGCCATATCAATATTCTTATAAAGCCTCTTTAAGTTTGCAGCCCCTGCAAGGCCACAGAGGCGGCTGGAAGGAGTAGAAATCGTACAAATAAAAGCCAGTTAAGTTGGTCCTCTAAAGGAGTTTCCTAATTTTCTTCTTCCAGTTGTGCGACTTCGAGGAGGACACTCCCATGAAGGCAGAGTTGAGGTGTTCCATAACGGAGAATGGGGCACGATCTGTGACGACCACTGGGACATTCATGCCGCCAACGTGGTCTGTCGTGAGTTGGGATTTCGCGGCGCAGTACAAGCCCTCACAGTCACAGATGCATCTTTCGAGCCGGGGACGGGGAGGATCTGGATGGACGATGTCAACTGCAATGGTCATGAGTCATACATCGATGAATGTGAACACAGAGGATGGGGGTCACATAACTGCAGGCATAACCAAGATGCGGGAGTTATTTGTGACGGTAATTGTGCCAACTGTTGGAGTAGTATTTCCTCAAACACTGGGCTTAGGTCTCCTCTCTTTAGTCATGCTAAAATTCCATGAAAATTTTCGTTGAATTTCCTCGTAGTCTTCCATTAATTTTCTAACTCATGCTCTACATTTGCTTGATAAAAATGATAATGTTGCAAAATATTACAAAAGTGTAATACTATATGTCCCAACTGTTTGTACGAAGATATCAAATAAAACGAGGTAACTGTGGCGCAATACTAAAAGAAACAAATAAACACATAGGGTATAATTTATGAAACATTAAAAAACGCGTTTGAGGCCCTACGCTACATGGCGTCCTGCCTGGATGTTTACAGCCAGCTCACCATGGAATGCAGTAATGTGTAATGTCGTACTACACGAACTGAAACATCTTCACAAGCCAAATCGTACAGTCAAAAACCTTACAGATTTTCTACCATACCTACCTTCGTTTAATCAAGGACTATTATAATGTGTATTGGTCTTCATTTATTTCATTTCTTATTTCTTTCCTTTACACTATATTATTCAGCTGCTGGGAAATCCTTGGAGTGAACGTACACTCCGCCAGTACCTGCCGGAAAAAGTCAGGTGTAGGTAAGTAGATGACTAGTTTCTGTTAAGTCCTACTTTTTTTTAACCTAAGTACTTATTTTAGTGTTACCAGTGTCCGTCTGTTTTGTTATCTGCTATGATATTAATTTGCACTTGAAACGTCGTTGACAATATTTTATATACATTTTATGTAATGGGTCATTTCTATTTTAATCGCGTAATATGTCGTTTTATACAATAAATGTGATGCCCAATGCCAATTCAGCCTCTGGCTGCCATTTTTGGGAGTGTTGTTGTGTTTTAATGCAAAATACAAAAATAAACCATTAATAAGTTCTTATTTCTGAGGACCACTTGTAATGTTATCCTTAAAAGATCTGATATTAGGTATCCTTTTCGCTCTGCAAACGTTTACATGTAGTTCTCTCTGTTGATTTCTTTTGCCTGTATTTTGTAGCTCATACCAAGTCTTTGCTTGTAAGGACCAGCCATCGTAATATTGGATATTCTACAACCATGGCGATTTTAAACTTTTACTCGCTCTAACTGCTATTCTTTCTTACTAAAGGATAACTACTTATGTTATATTTACAGACATGGCACGAATTCGAATTGACGATGAAAATCTGTTATCGGACAAACATATATTTTCTTAGATGATGAGTGCCGTCATCTTGCAAACCTTGTCTAAAGAGGTTATGAAGAAAATGTTTATGTAGTTTTCTAGTATTTTAAACCTTCTTCCAGCGCCCTGGTGTATATGGTGCTTTGTATATAATAATATATATTGTAAATTATGATAATGAATACATTTCTCTATGGTAATTGATTAGACTTTGTCCATGATGTCATGGTATTCTTAACCTGTAAAAGATTGTTTCTTCCACACTCCACTCTGTCTAGATGGAAGAGTTGCAAGAGAATACACAGATGCATCGTCCACCACCATCGGTACTCAGTCAACTCCATTTAGGTATTATCAGCTCGGGATCATTTTTATGGGCATCTGTATGTTTCTACGATCTTAATCAATACCTGTATCTTTATACAACTTTATAAATAGACATAGATTAGTTGGCGGGTTATAACAATAATAAGAGGTACAATGGGGTTGAGACCTACTGCAGCTGACTTTTGACGTGCAAATATTATGCAAGTAGCAGTTGTGCCATTCTACTGAGTGGACTAAAACTGGGAGAGGAATTGGTAGAAGTAACTAGGATGGCTAGAAGACATGTCTGGTAACTAGGGAATTATTGATTAATCAATTTCAGTGGCAGGTAGGCTGGCAGATTGTTTTTCATTATTTTACGTAAGGCGATAGCAGGCTTAGGATTTTAGCTCATGAGCTCAGGCTATTTTAATCTTTGCTACCAATAGTGATTATGCATTTCTGAGTTTTTTCAGCGGTATACTGTAGCAATTAACACAGGCAACTTACTCTCGATACTTCGGTAAAGATGGGTCAAATTTCTACATGTAACTGTGTGGGTGCATGGGCAGTTGGACTTTGGTAATAGCTATACCTGCAACACATAGTCTATCATCATTGTTATTAGTGAGCTTTGCTTTTGAGGTGGAAAGTTTAAAGCTGTGCCATTATAAGAAACGATAGGCATATAGTCTGGAACAAATAACGACCTTGTGATGAGGAAACAACTGTTGAACATCTTACATCGGTTAGCATTGGTAGGTCACTAACATGAAGAAAACATCCAATGCTTTGTCGAAATTTACCATCACAAAGATTAAGACTTAAGAAGAAACGACAAGCATATTAAACTTTTCAGAAAAGAAATTTGTTATATATATATATATAACAACATCTTACATTTGGTTTAAAAGCATTGGTAGGTCACTAACATCAAGAAATCCTCCAATGCTTTTTGAAATTGTGCCATCACAAAGATGCAGATTTAAGAAACGTTTTTTATTAACGCATTAATGAAAAATTAAGAAACTTGTGATGAGAAAACAACATCCTATACATTCGGTTTAATAGTGTTGGTAGGTCACTAACATTAAGAAAACCTTTGATGTCTTTTTCGAAACTGTACTATCACAAAGATCAAGATTTAAGAAACGAACAAAAGAACATTCAATTTGACAGAAAGGTAAGAAACTTGTGATCAGAAAAAAAAAAATCTTAAATTGGGATCAACAGCATTGGTAGGCCACTACCATCAAGAAAACCTCCAATGCTTTTTAGCTGTGCTATTAGGAAACGATAGGCAAATCAAGTAAGGACCCTGTGATGATGAAAACACAATTTTTTAACACCTAAAAATTGTTTATCTTTGGTGGCTTGCCTCCAACACCTTTTGAGAAGTTTTGCCATCACAAAGATTATTTATTTAAGCTGTGCTATTAGGAAACTATATATAAGCATAAAACAAGAAAGGATCTTGTGATGTGAAAATAATTTCAACATCTAACATCGGTTAGCATTAAATTTGGTAGGTCAATAACATGAAGAAGCCTACGATGCTATCATCACAAATTCAGTTTTACGCTGTGCTATTAAGAAACGATAAGTCGTAACAAGTAAGGACCTTGTGATGATAAAAAGAACAATTAGGTGACACCTACATATTGTTCAGCGTTGGTGGTTTACCTCCAATGCCTTTTTAGAAATTTTACCGTCACAAAGATTAAGTTTATTTGAGCTGTGCTATTAGGAAACGATAAGCATATAGTTAGGAACAAGTAAAGACCTTGTGATGAAAAGTCAGTTTAACATCTACACATTGTGTAGCATTGGTAGGTAACCTCCATTAGTTTCGGTAGGTTACCTTCAATGCTTTTCAAGGAAATCACAAAGATTAAGATTTTTAATGTTAAGGTGTGCTTGCTATTGTACATGTGTGGCTTGTAAGGTATAGGTATGATAAGTGACAGCCCTGTAATTATGCAGTGTGTAACATCTGTCTTCAGTTGGAAGTCAAACTTATTTTTACAGACTGTCATTTTTTATATTTGAATTTATTTAGGAACGTTAATGTAACGTCATGAGAAGTACGTTGTGATGGAGTTAAAGTGTTAAACACCGGTTTGTTGAAAGATAATTGAATCCATCAGAATGGTTCTCCTCACGGAGCTACAACTCTTTAATTATATACTAAGTGCTATTTTTATACCTTATATGGCTTGATCTAGATCAAGTAGGCACCTGGCGATCATAGTATTGTTTATCGCCTAGGAGACACCTGGACTGAGCACTTTATTGTGTTTCTGGAACCATCTTTTGTTTGTTGCATTGCAGAACTTTTGCACTTTGTAAGACAAGTTAGGAAACAAATGTGTACAGCAGGACCAGTGTAAGGTAACTGTGGGTAGACATAAAGATACCTGCACAGTTCCAATTGAACATCAAACCTGTTTGATCTCAATCTTGTTCTAAAAATAAACATCTAATCTATACTTTGCAGTATTATACTGCACAGTATCTGTGCAACACAACCCCTACTATCGCACAAATTGTCTCCGGGGTATGTCAATTCAGATCGTCATGATTAAGTTATAATTTTATCATACTTGTTCTTTCATCAAAATAGTGTGTAGGTAAAAATGAAGCTACTATATGTTCGTACACAAAGAACACTCCGATAACATCCTATTAGTAAGGAGGGTGACAATGTATTTTTAACTTATGATTTTATTGACGGTTTTTCCACCATATCTGTTTCCCAGTTTTATTTTACATCAACCATCTGTTAGTTCGTGAAATATATTGTCAATTGAAGAACACAGTATTTGTACGTGTACACATGTAAAATTAAAATCGTCAAATATGTATCATCTTTAAACATCCGAGAATAAAAACAACATGTGGCTTCAATTCTATCTTGCAATATATCTTTCTTTGGGTTTAGGATAGTAGAGAGGACATAGGCAGGATCTAAAACAGGCCAGAGATATGGAAACCATTATCATTTACCAAAAAAAAATTAACAACGGTAACAGCAACAACACCTACAAGTTTAGAATATGAAATGTTCTTCGTTTTAATCATGAGTTATTACGAAGTAGTCGAAATAGTCTCTGCCAGGCTTCAAAATCGGCCTGAAAGAGTAGAAAGTGACCAAATAGACAGATATCATGCCAAGAAAGTTAGGCCGCTCCCCTGGTAGATAAACATTAGACTTGTAAAATGAAAGAAAAAGAAATGTTGAAAACAGTTAAGTTAAAAAAACCTACCTAAATCCTGTACTTGTCACAAAACGTTCTCGAGGTACACGTGTCAAGCTACAACCATTGTAGTATCACTCCGAGTCGTTATTCCGGCTTAGAAAACACGCGATATTTTCTCATTCAAGAGTATTGCGCACTGCCGCCAGCGCAACCTACCGTTAAGTTATCTGCTTAAACCCATCGGAAACACTATTGTGACACTAATGCCAGAAATTCGGGGCAGCTGTGTGTAGGTAACACGATATGTTAGGATCACTTAATATGTAAGCTGTACATTTTAACTAACCCGGCTTGGCAGCTGCCGTTCCTGGTTTAATCTTTTCGAAGGAAGTCAGGAATAAGGAAGAACGTCAGAAACAGATCCCAAAGACAGCTGCAGCTTAGAAAGTATTGTAAAGATCTCCTGGGTTTAAAGTACACTTCATGCCCTCTATTAGACATTTGTATGCAATAAACAATGTTCACCTGTAGCTATGAGCATTCAAGTTTGAACTAATGTTAAGAGCACACCGAACAGAGCTCTTCCACTAGTCATCAGTTTGCCCATCAACGACTGATCAGCGAAATCCGATGATCATGTTCAACAACATCTCGGAGTCGAAACCTCTACGGTTTGGCAACATCTCGGAACCTCTACGGTTCAACAACAGTTCGGGCCCTCTACTGTTCAACAACAGCTCGGACCCTCTACGGTTCAACAACAGCTCGGACCCTCTACTATTCAACAACGGCTCGGACCCTCTACTGTTCAACAACAGCTCGGACCCTCTACTGTTCAACAACAGCTCGGACCCTCTACTGTTCAACAACAGCTCGGACCCTCTACTGTTCAACAACATTTCGGACCCTTTACGGTTTGACAACAGCTTGAACCCTCCGCAGTTTGAAGATTTGGTTCAGTGTTACCATTGGCACCTCCGCCATACAAACATGTCCTACCTTCAGGCCAGCCAGGCTTGCCCCGCATACGACACCGTGTTAGGGAGTGAAGGGTGGCTAATGTACATGTTTGGAGTCATGGGGGTCTTCATCATATTAGCCAATGTTACGGTCCTTTTTGGCATCATCGGAACACGGAAGCTCCACAAGGCCTTGTATCTGTACATTGCAAACCTCGCGACTGTAGACCTGCTGCCAGGGATTCTCCTCGTTTGTTTAGCTTTCGGACAATTAGGTCAATATGGAATGATTGCTATGTGGTACTTTTACACTTGTTTGATGTTTACCCAGATAATGTCTGCATCAGCTCTATCTTTGTTATCTATAGATTGTTACATAGCTGTGAGGCACCCTATCTTCTTCCACAATAACGCTCCTAAGGCCAAGCGGAATGCTTGTGTAGCAATTGTATGTACATGGATCGTCCTGCCCTTGTGCGTCTTTTCATCTTTCATGGGCTGGAATTGTGTATATGATCGCTCCATCGCCGTAGAAAGCTGCTATACTTTAGTGCGCATCGGCTATGTCATTTTCTTAGGTCCCTTAATTATATTGCCAGGTATTGTTTTGATGTTCACAAACATCAGCGTTTTCGTACGCATCAAACGACGACAAAAGACAGGACCGCGACAGTTCAGAGGAGGTGGGACTCGACGGGCGGAAGCTAAAGAAAACCAGGGCAGGGCTGGGGAAAGTGAAGACGGCGATGCACAGGACAAAGCTCAGCGGAAACTGGCCTCCAGCGCAAGAAAGGCAAGAACAGTGATGATTCTTGTGACGATGGCATTCGTCCCTTGGTCGCTGGGTTTTGCAGCTCTCCCATTTGGACATGTCTGCTTCAGGAACAGAGATGTGTGCTCACCTGTGGCATTCTCAAGTTTGGTGCTTTTCCTTCTGTTGTCAAACTCGGCACTCAACCCATTGGCAAACATAATTCGCATGGCCGACTTGAGAAATGCAATCTGGCAACAACTCACTGGTCCTTACCGTGGATGCTTGAACTGTTTGAGGATATTTGGTCGGGAACAAACAGAAGAGGAACAGAATGGTCCAGGAGACGGTCAAAATAGTTAGGACAAAAAAACAACAGGTTACTTTACAGGACTAGACAATGCGCCTAACTACTTCAGTGAGTTCTGTGTAATGCGTAGTCGTTAGTATATGTATATTAGAGCACAAGACTTAAGATCTACCAGTAGACAACATTCTACCCATCGATCTGACAAGGGAGGTGGCGTTGCAGAAAAGAGCATGGACTTAGACACGAGTGAGAAATTTTTCTTTCAGTAATTAATTCATTGCGTTTTTGTACCACTATACAAAAGTTTAGATATGGCCGAATGTGTGTTTTATAAAGTATATAATCAGAAGCCAATCATTTTTGTGTGAGTTTTTATGCATATTATTATGTCACGTGCAAAAAAGAACAAACAGAAAGTATAATACAGTTTTTGGTTAATTCATCTTGTCTGCCTTGTTTTGTGCCGTCCTGTGCAAATGTCTAAAGTCTCTACATCGTGAGGAGGTAGTTAGTTTCTCCCTGGTCAGCTTAGTGGATATATGTAGTACTGTATTATGCAAAACGGACAGAAATCATATTCCTTATCGAAATGCATAACTTGTTTAGGTACAGCTACAGGTCCGGACCTGTACCTAAAGCCGTATACCTGCACCTGTCACAAAAATGTGGTGAGGTACGTTCACAGCTCTACCTACAGTCCTTGTAGTATTACACGCTATTCCTACTTACAAAACGCGCTAGATTTCCCCCATTAAAGAGTGTTGCGCACTGCCGCTAACCCAAACTGACGTTATCTGCCCAGACCTTACTTTATTGTTTGGATATCTAATTCGCCGTGTTAACTTTATATTATCTTGTACCTATTTTGAGATAATTTGTTTGCTTGTCCCTTAATACATTGCAAGTTAAATGTAAATGTAAGAAATGTGTGTAAATAAGAGATCGTAAAATTAATAGGATTTGGGAGAGTCCACTAGACAAACCTTCAGGTTTCTTGGGCTCTCCAGCATATCTTTGCTTGTATATAATTTCTTTTGATACTGTTACTTTTTTATGTGCAAATTGACAATAAACAAACAATAAAGACCTATAAGAAAAAGAGAAATTGTGACACTTAAGTCACGAACTCAAGATAGTGAAAACCAGTTGTATGTCAGATTTCTTGATACGCCAGGATTACATGTTTAAGTGCATTGTACATTATGACTCTCCCAGCTTGCTAGATGCCAAAGCTTGTTTCATTCTCTTGACGGAAGTCAGGTAAAACGTTAAAGAGCCAGGTTTCAAAGACACCTGCAGCCTAGGCTGTGTTACCTGCGACTTTTGTGTTTGAATTGCATTAGATTTCCTCTTTCACTTCCGCAACACCGCCTTTCATACATACCAGCTGTCGTTATTAACTTTCAGGTTAAATCTCATGGAAATATCAGAGGATTAAGTCCTTAGACAAACATTCATCTTAAAGACAGCTGCAGGTCAGATGATATTATCTACTTTGAGATACATTATATCCCTCCTCTAACGTGTATTCATATATCAACTGTCACCTGTCCTTGTATGCTCGTATAACACCGCTTTGGGAAAATTTCCAGAGCCTCAGTAAAAAGGAGTAAAACCCACGCAAGATACTAGTGAAATAGCATTGGTAACCCACCATGAAGTGTTTAATTTGTTCCTTGTTGAACTTTCTTTGTTGAACGTTCTTGCATTCTATGAATGCCATCTTTTGTTACTGGGACTGGCAGACTACACTTGGCCTCCACACGCAAAGTGTATCAAGAGTTAAGTGGTAATTACAGATTCCCGTGCCATAGAGCACGGAGTCCCATTGTGTTCTGCGGATAGACTAAATTGTACGTCGAAATCACGATAAAACACAGAGTGAATAGAAGATGCGGGTCAATATATTCCAAAGATGATGCAATCATCATGATTACAGTAACTACAGTAGATCCCCTAGTGAATTTAAAACACACATTGGTGATGTTACAGGATGGTCAAGACTATCTGACTTTTCAACATTTTATTGCATGCATTACCGGGTTTATCGACACTTTTCTCTATTGGCGTAAAAAAAAAGGTACAAGTAAGTGCAACAAAAAGAAAACCTGTTAAAAAAGCCTAAAAACACGCAAAAAATTACCCAAACTTAGGCTTGGAGGTTTTAGATCAAAGCTGTCTGTTTGGATGAGCCATATTCACTCTGTAATTGTAAACTTTTTAAGCACTTATCATATATATAGCAGAAGCACCATGAACATAGAGTCAGAATGTTTATTTGATATACAGTAAAATACAGAAAAATTTTACAGAAAATATTGAATTCGAGAGAGAAATTACCTGATTTCATAACATATTGTCTGCAATCTACATGTCAATTTAATGACATCATCAACTAAGCATAATTATATTATAAATATAAATTAATCAAAATTAATGAACTTATGCCAGCTGCTATTATTGTAAAAATATGTTCTTAAAGAAGAAAACCTGGAAAGCACAGTGAACCAAAGTATCCCGTTGTGCTCTACAACACACTTCTAGTACATAAATGCAAACGTGTGTGTATAAACAAGAGTAAAATACAGCCTTTATTCACAGATCAATGACACCTATAATAAAAAAGGTACTTAAAAGTAAATTGACAAGTACGGTGCAACTTTACTTAGAGACTGTAATGACCTAAAACCTACGGTCTTCAATTACTTCTACCATAACCCTGGTCATGTGCTACAATATGCACCATTTACAGTGTTCTTGCTCTCCTGACGGTTTTTCTCCAAAAGCAAGACGGCATCGCTTGAGGTACTTTCCTGATGGTCCATTGCATTTCGATAGACTGTTTCGTTTACGGTGGACTGAACAGATTTTGCACCTTCCACGATATCAGCTGTTTCGTCACCAGTGTCTGATAAAAGTACAGGTTCGTGGGTTTCCGATTGGACCGTTTCTGTTTGGCAAACGCCTTGCGAATTTTCCAGCAATCCAGGAATTTGGGAAGATTCCAGTTCTTCAGTCGGCAGTTGTAAGTCAGAGACACTCAGTGACCATTATATTTCAAATAACTTATCTCTTTCGGCGCTATAATTAGGGCAATGACAAATAAAGTGGACGTCATCCTCCACTGCATTTCCTGTACAATTATTTTACATATTCTGTCCTTCGAGACAATGGTTTGTATTTACCCTTTTCTATTTCTAATGCATGTATAGCTGCAAGAAAAATTAAAACTTTTATTTTACAGATCAATGCCATGTAAATAGTTTAAAATAAGCCTGGCTGCTACAACTTAATTTAGTCACTATTTACTGTTACTAACATTACTTACTTGTTATGACCTAGCGAAAAATGGCTTCAATATGGTCTTCAAAATGTCCTCCTTAACACCAATCATGAAGCACAATATGCGCCATTCTCAGTGTTCTTACTCTCCTGACGGTTTTGCCCTGAAAGCAAGACGGCTTCGCTAGAGGTACTTTCTTGACTGTCCGCTGCATTTCGATAGACCGTTTCGTTCACAGTGTTCTTTCTGTCCTGGCGGTTTTTCTCTGACAGCAAGGCAACATCGCTAGAGGTACTTTCTTGACTGTCTGCTGTGTTTCGATAGACCGTTTTGTTCACAGTGTTCTTTCTGTCCTGACGGTTTTTCTCTAAAAGCAAGGCAGCATCGCTGGAGGTACTTTCTTGACTGTCCGCTGCATTTCCATAGACCGTTTTGTTCACAGTGTTCTTTCTGTCCTGGCGGTTTTTCTCCGACAGCGAGGCAACACCACTAGCGGTACTTTCTTGACTGTCCGCTGCGTTTTGGTAGACCGTTTCGTTGCTGGTGGACTGAACAGCACTGCCACCTTCTTCTGCCACATCTGTCATTTCATCATCAGTGACTGTTGGTACAGGTACATGGGTTCCCTTTGGAACCGTTTCCATTTGGAAAACGCCGTGCGAAATGTCCAGTAGTCCAGGAGTTTGGGACGTTTCTATTTCCTCAGTCACCAATTGTGGTGAGTCAGAGACACTCGGCTGTAATGAGTCTGGTTTTAATGTTTGTATCCTTACCATCGTCTCTTGCGTGACATTCGACTTCTGCGATCACAGGTTCCACAGCGATGTTTGATAAAGGTATTTCCGCGTACGGCTCAACACCTGTACAGCCCAGTTCGTTTGGAATCGTTTCATACCTGCCTTGTTCGTCGCCATGTTGGTTTGCCTCCACTAACTGCCTGGCAGAATGCACGTCATCTTTGATATACGTGTAGGTGTGGTAAGTAACACGGTCCTGACTTGTGGACTCTTCAATTCTTGATAAGGGTACTTCTGCGTATGGTTGGACCTCTGCACACCCTGCTTGGTTTGGTACTGTTACGCGGTTGTCAAGCTGTTGTTGGTTGGTGCCGTACATTTGGTTATGAAGAAGCGAGTGATTTGCTTGTACTTGTAGCAGTGCCCGCTGCAATGCTTTAGCTCGCTGGCGTTGAAATCGTCGCCGCCCAAACCACCACGACAACACAAGCACAGCTATCATAAACATGGTTCCAGAAACAGAAGCCGCAATCGGTAGGATTATGCCCTGCTCTTCTTCCAAAGTATTACCTATAGACACCGTTTCAAAGGTACTCTGGTCTACCGAAGTTGTTTGGGTGCTAACAGGGAATGAAGAGAAGACATTTAGAGCTGCGTGAGTTGTGTTGTACGGTGTCATCAGATCCACAATGTGCGCAGTCGTGTTCATTCTTGGCTCAATGACT